CTTCCCTCTCTCCGCCCCTGCCCTCACTCCAAGCACAGCTTCACCAGGTTGGCCTGGACCTTGGCTTGGTCCACGGCATCCAGGAGGTTCTTGGCATCCACGGCCAAGGTGTGGGAGGCCGTCAGCATCTGCCGCTTGCACTCCTCGCTCAGCGAGGTGACGGCGTTCTGCTGCGCCAGGCGCATCTTGTTGATGAGTTCGGCCAAGTCCTTGTTGAGCAGCTTCTGGGTCCCCTCGATCTGACCATGACATGCAGGGGTTACAGACAATGGAGGCCACCAGCACGTGACCCCCACGCCGGACCCCCTTTCCCTCCTCCCTGGTCTTACCTCGGTGCGGGAGGCAGCGGGCAGGATGGGCAGGATCTCGTCGACGCTGCCGATCAGCTTCCGCAGGGACAAGCCCACGTTCTGCGGGGAGGGGAGCGGGGTGAGGATGGATCCAGGTATGGGCACGGGGAAGTTGGGCATGGGAATAATCTGTGTCACTCAGCCAAGGATCCCACTTGGGAGAGGGGCATAGTGGGAGACGAGTCCCATTGTTGACCCCAGGGCCCAACAGAGCATCAGGGTGTGTTGGAAACGCTTCCACTGTTGACCCAAGGACCAAGTGGAGGAGCAGGACATGCTGGGAGTGCTCCCACCATTGACCCAAGGACCAAGTGGAGGAGCAGGACATGCTGGGAGTGCTCCCACCATTGACCCAAGGACCAAGTGGAGGAGCAGGACATGCTGGGAGTGCTCCCACCATTGACCCAGGGACCAAGTGGAGGAGCAGGACATGCTGGGAGTGCTCCTACCATTGACCCAAGGACTAAGTGGAGGAGCAGGACATGCTGGGAGTGCTCCCACCATTGACCCAAGGACTAAGTGGAGGAGCAGGACATGCTGGGAGTGCTCCCACCATTGACCCACGGACCAAGTGGAGGAGCAGGACATGCTGGGAGTGCTCCCACCATTGACCCAAGGACCAAGTGGAGGAGCAGGACATGCTGGAAGTGTTCCCACCATTGACCCAAGGACCCAGCAGAGCGGCAGGGCATATTGAAAAATTCTCATCATTGACCCAAGGACCCAACAGAGGAGCAGGACATGTTGGAAACTCTCCCATCATTGATCCAAGGACTCAACGGAGGAGCAGGACATATTGGAAACCCTCTCATTATTGACCCAAGAGCCAACAGAGGAGCAGGACATGCTGGAAATCCTCTCATCATCAATCCAAGGATCCAAACGAGGAGAATGTTTGGGAATGTTTGAACTGTTTCCTCCTATGTACATGAGACTGTCTCAGGAAGGATGCTTGGTGGGAGCTGCTCAGCAGACTCATTCCCAACTCCCTCTCCCTGTTCCCCACAGAAAACCTGGTGTTGTCCTCTGCCTGCCCTCCCTACCTTTACCACGAGGATGTAGCCCTCTGGGGGCAGGAGGCTGATCTCATTCTTCAGCTGCAGGACAGCCCTCACCAGGTCCATGACGTTGCTGTACACCGTGTCATCGGTGCGGTCCAGGTTGGCAGTGGGGGCCGGGTGGATGGACTGCTGGAGAACAGGGACACGGTGGGATCAGGTGGACCGAGGGGGCAAGGAGGAAGACAAACACCTACAGAAGACTCATCCACCTCCCACTCACGCCCCGCCAATGCCACTGGGTCTGTCTGACCCTTTTAGGACCTGAGCGAGTCAGAAAAGCCCCATCCTGACGATGAAGGTGGAAGTGGAGGAGGAATGAGGCCGTGGAGATGGAGGAGGAGGAGGAGCAGGACTGTGTTGGCCCGTTCCAGGGAGGTCTTACCTGTGCCCCGAGTCTTGGAGGCTTCTGGGGGGGCCCCGTGAACTCCGCTATGCCGTCAGTAAGGGAAAGGAAGGAGAGTCACTCCAGCTGCTCCCACAGCCACGTGGGAACACTGCAAGACCCCCAGGACTCCTGTTACATCCCACAACACCCCACAGCAGCGTGACCCACCCCAGCTGTGCTGATCCACCCCCAGCTCTGCCACCTCCCCTCGGGGTCAGACCCCCTGGGATCTCCATGTCTGGGAGAAGCAGACCCCTCCCCATCCAGGGCAGGCAAAACTGCTCCCCAGGATCTGGAATTTCTTTCATGATGACCCAAAAGCCAAGAGGGATATGGCCCAGAGGGTCCTTGCAGAGTGATCCCAGGTTGGGGTGGGTCACAGGCAGCCCCACACAGCTCCGGGCACTCACTGTAATCCGTCTCCTTCTCTGGGAGAAGCTGCAGGGTGGGAGAAGAAATAGAGAATGAGAAACACAAAAGTCCTGCTGGAGGCAGCAAAAAGGGGGGAATCTCCATCCCCTCCCAGGGCTTCTGGTGGGGAGCTCCACACCACCAGTATGTCACCCCATTAACACTCTCCAATGTGTGTATATAAATATTTAACATTTAAATATAAATATTTAACAACCATTTATGTCGAAACAAGTGAGGAACTCCGGATACCCCCAAAAGAAGCAACACCCCCTGTACCCATTTGCCCCCCGAACCGGTGTCTCCAGGGCCGGCACCACTCACCGGAGCGTTGTTGTTCATAAACACGGTCGGGTCCTACATAAAGGAAGAGAAGCTGTGTGAGAGGCATGGAAAAAGAAAAGGAAAAAGAGAGGAAAAAAGGGATTTTTCCCAATTTCTTGGGGACTTGGTGAAACGCATCACAGGAACACAGCTCTGCGGAGTCCGGGGAATGTGGGAGGGAAAGGGGCTTCACAGTCATCGCTGGTCTCATTTCCACCCCATCCCATCACCCCGATCTGCTCCCCACCTGCTCCTGGGGCATCAAAACCTCAAACTGTTGCTCAAAAAGCTCCCAAAACTTAATTTCAGCAGCTGTTTGCAACCCTGGGGGCGAGGAGAGCCAGGCTTTGCTTTATCGGCTGTTGAGTCGATCGAATAAAAGATTTTCAGTCTCCTTCCAAGCCTGTCTCACCACAAGCTGCTGCATTACTCACACTCCAGCCTTTATTGCAAGAGCATTATAAAAGCCCATTAAGCCGCAATTGTAGGTATTTAAAATTGCCCGTGTTTCAAAATATTCATTTGGAAATGAAGCAGCTCCGTGAGATTTTTATAGGAGGGGACAATAAAAGGGTGCAAGACGTTTGGCTGCTGGAGGAACCTCTCCTCCAAGAGAAAACTGCCTTTTTCTAGCCCCAAAGAACAACGTCACTGCCTGCAGTGACTCTTCCACCACCGTCATGAAGGTGCAGGAGGTGGAAGCCCCCAGCTCGAGGCCACTCACCAGGGACTTCTCCTCCTGCCGCAGCCACTGGTAGTCCTCCACCATCTGCTTCTGCTGCTTGTCCAGGACCTGCTTCATCTTGAGCCTCTCAATCTCCCAGAGCTTCTGCGCCTCCTCCCTGCTGCTGGGACGGAGGAAATCTTCCTCCTGCGGTGCAGAAATGGTGGTGCTGGGGGTGATGATCAGGAGCCAGAGTCCACCCCCTTGCTCAGTTTCACCTGGGGAGCCATGCAAGCCATGCGCCGGCCCCCCAACAGCCACGAACCCCCAAACTGGATTCAGGGAACCACTTGGGTTTCCAATAGAGAAGCCACCGGTCAGCCCCACATCTCCCATCACCACGCCCCGGCGTTTTCCACGGGCACTGCATCCCGTCCTCAGCGCCGGGCAGAGCATCGCAGGATACATCCCAACACCCAGCTCGGGTTTTTGGAGCTGGAATAACCGAGCCCAGGGCTGCAAACCACCACCAGCATCTCAACGCTGAGGGCTGAGGAGATGACCCAAAGCCCCGAGGAGCAGCAGCCACCCGTCCCCTGCCCGGTTTTGGGACTCAGTGCTGGGCTCTTGACCACCAACACGCCTTCACCGGGAGGTACATATAAACATGCACGTGCTAGAGACATCCCAGAGCCCTTCATGGCCTCGAGATCACAAGCAGCACCCACAGGATGACAGGTTGACCCTCGCGCAGCCAGACTGGCAGCAACATCGAGCTGGAAGCGGCGGAGGCGGCAGCGCAGAGCGGAGCGCGGCGTGGCGAGCATCTTCCCACAAAAGCCCTCGTGCCTGGGGACGAGGCCATCCAGGAGCAGGATTGTCCTCGGGATGGAGGAATCCCCTCTCTTACCCTCATGCTGTGGCGTTTGAAGACGTTGTGGCGGTTGGGCGGCGGGGTGTGCAGGGAGTTGGCCGGAGACTGGTACTCCATGGGGTTGGTGAGGGTGGGCGAGCTGGCACACAGCGGGGTGGGGTGGGGGAGCAGGCAGCAGGGCGGCGCGGGCACAAAACAAGGCAACAGGGAAGGAGGGGAGTGGTTAGTGCAGACAGACAGACAGACAGAGCAGACAACATGGGGGAGAGCAGCTTTCACACCGGGAGCAGCCTCTGCCCTCAGGATCGGGACTTCCCACCCTGCTTGGCTCATCCTTGCCCTGGGCATGGGTTTGAGACCTCCTGTGCAGCTGCCTGGACCTCAAAAAAGAACTCAGAATAGTTGATTTTTAGGGTTCACGCTGAGGCTTGAAAGACTGGCACTGGTTCTTGAGGAGGGGATCATCAGAGGACTAGAAGACCTGCCATGGGAAGAAGGGCTGAGAGAACTGGGCTTGTTCAGCGGAGAGAAGGTTCAGGAGAGACCTTATTCCCATGCACCAGTACATAAAGGGGGGCTGCCAAGATGATGGAGACTCATGTTTTACAAGGAGTCGTGTGGAAAAGACAAGGGGTGATGGGTACAAGTTGCTCCCATTGGAGGTTCCCATTGGACTCCAGAGGACAATTCTTCACCATGAGAGCAATCGGACATTGGAATGGTCTTCCAGGGGAAGTGGCGAGTTCCTCAGCTTCAGACAGTTTTAAGGCTCAGCTTGACAGAGTGCTTGGCCATCTCATTTCTTTTACTGTATTTCTTTACCTTAAAGGGTTGGACTAGATGATCCTTGAGGTCTCTTCCAGCCTAGTATTCTTGGATTCTATGATTCTATGATTTTATGATTTATGGTTCTATGATTCTATGACTCTATGATTCTATTGCCTGTGCTCCAGCAGGGCAGCCAAAAATCATCCCAGTAACACCAGAGAGTAGCACATCTCCTCTCCTCCCAGCCACGTGTGTACAAATCAGCCAGGGCCAGGGGTGCAAACCCCCTTTCCCCAGGGCAAAAGTTTCACTCCCAGCTCTGAAGAGTGACAAAACACAGGACAGGCAGGGCAGGACTGAGCCCTGAGGGGTGTCATGTCCTGCTTGAGAGGCAGCAGGAGATGCTTGGTGGCAACGTGCGGCCTCCTGGAGCCCTAAAACCCATGAGTTCCTGAGGGCTTGAGCTCCAGGCAGGGCTTTCCAGCATCGACCCCCTTGGTCAGGTTCCTGTGGGATGCTTGGCTGCGTGATCTTACCTGGAACTGCAGCTTGGGAGCCAGGAGGTTGCTCTGGGGTGGTGGCTTGTACTTGGGTCTGCTGGGCTGTGGGGAGAGGAGGAGGAGAGAGAAACGTGCGGTGGGGATAAGCTCAGAGAGATCCCACTTCTGCAGCACCCATCAAGGGGTCGAGGCAGAGCTCGGCCCTCTGCTCACCTTTGGAGGTGGCTCCTGGAAGGGCAGCGGCTCCAAGATTTTAGGAGGCCGGTGGCGGTTGTTCCTCTCCTGCTCCTTGGCCAGTTCCTTCTCCATCAGGTAAATGTCGCTGCAGAGAGACACGGAGGGTGACAGCCCCGGGAGGGAACGTTGCCACACTTCCCACATCCCAGAGAGCTGGAGTTGCATGAGCTGGATGGGCCATGGAAAACACGAGGGAGCGAGGAGGGATGGGAAGAGCAGAGGGAAAGGACCCGGGGAACCTAGCTTGGTCCTGCTCAACCACACCAGCATCACCACGGCTGCTCCAGAAGGAGATGTGAGGCCAGGACTCCCCTGCAAGATTCCTCCCCGGCAAATAAAGCATTTCCATTTTAGCCCAAGCATCATCCCCCTCCCCAGGTGCACGTGGGCTCAATCAATCTCAATTCTTTGAGTCTAGACTTGGCCAGAAACACCCAGACCTAAAACCTTCCCCAGATTCACTTTTCCCCTTCACCTACTTGCCCACCCTTCCACCAAACCATGGACCCCAGGCCTACTAGACCATTGTCAATCCCCCGCTCTCCCTCTGCTCACCTCAAGCTGCAAACCAACTCCTTGAACTTGGGCCTTTCGCTGGGGTCGTAGTCCCAGCAGCGTGTCATGAGGGTGTAGAGGACGGGCGGGCAGAGCTCGGGCTTGGGCAGGCGGTCACCCCTCTCCAGCACCCCGATCACGTCCTTGTTCTCCAGCCAGAAGAAGGGCTGCTTCCCGTAGCTCAGGATCTCCCACATGCACACAGCTGTGGGGGCAAGAGGAGCAACCTCAGCTGATGCCAGAGCTGAGGGAACACGCCACTCATGTTTTTTGGGAGCCTGGTGACAGCGTGACATCAGGTCACTTGGTTGCTCCACCTTTCTGGGCCCTGGGTGGAAAATGCAGAGGGAGGAGTTGCCTTCTCTCCCAGGGAGCCCAGCTCTGGTTGCTGCTGGCCATAGGGCTCTTAGGGATGGACAGACGGACAGATGAACACCATGGGGACTGGTGGGTAGACAGGGGGATGGATATCTGTGGGGGTAGAGTTTAACTCGGCCCCCTGGACCATCTTGGATTCACTGGAGGAGGAGGAAGCACCTAATGATGGTTGATTCCCCTTGATGGTTTTCCCTGTGATAGGACGAAGGGAAATGGCCTTAAGTTGGGCTGAGGAGGTTCAATTTGGATATTAGGGAAAAAATCTTCACTGAAAGGGCTGTCAGGCACTGGCACAGGCTGTCCAGGGAGGGAGTTGAGTCACCGTCCCTGGAGGGGTTTAAGAGACGGGTGGATGTGCTGAGGAACACGGGTTAGTGGTGTTGACAGGGCTGGGACAAAGGTTGGACTTTCTGATCTTGAAGGTGTCTTCTTGATCTTCCAGCCAGAACCGTTCTATGATTCTATAGTTCTATGATTCGATGATTCGATGATTCTATGAATTGCAAGAAGCTCTGTCCCAGGAGCTCTTTTCCCAAGGGCAAGGCCAGGAGAACCTCTCTGCTTCAGAGCAGGGTTTGTCCCTGTGCATTGAGACAATGCCATGGGAGGCAGGTGATGGCCAGGACCCCTCTCTGTCCCCACCCCACCCCATACCAAACATCCAGACGTCGCTGGCCGTCGTGAAGCGGCGGAAGTTGATGGACTCAGGTGACATCCACTTGATGGGGAGACGGCTGATGGATGCTGGAAGGGGAGAGGAGATGGTGGCCACGCTCACTGGGAGGCGGAGCAGCCCCAGAGCAGGCACGGCAGCAAAGTCTCCCCACGGTCAATGCCCTCAGAAGGTTGGAGTGAGCCCCAACCCCATCCCATGGCTCTCACCTTTATAGTACTCCTCATCCTCGATGTACCTGGACAGCCCGAAGTCGCCCAGCTTCACGCATTCCGGGGAGGCCACCAGGATGTTCCTCACGGCAATATCCCTGCAAGGAGAGAGATCCTTGGCTGGAGAAAAGGGATGGAAATGGGATCACAGAGTCATAGAATGGTTTAGTTTGGAAGGTACTTTAAAGATCATCTCGTTTCAAACTCCCTGCCATGGGCAGGGACACCTCCCGCAAGACCAGGTTGCTCCCAGCCCCGTCCATCCTGGCCACGGACAATTCCAGGGAGAGAAACCCCCCGACAACTTCTCTGTGGTAGAAGTTGGATGGAGGAGAGCTCGCACCTGGACAACCAGATCACCTGACTGCAGAATGCATCTGCAGCCAAGGATGCTGCCAGCCTCCGCCTCTGCCCACACCCACCTGTCCTCCCTCCAAGGTCCCTGCTGTCCCCTGTCCTCCTCCTCCTCTCTCCTGCCCTACCTGTGCACGCAGTTGATGGCCTCCAGGTAGGCCAGGGCTTTGCTGATCTGCAGGGCGTAGAGGATAAGCGTGGGCACGGCGAGGCAGTGCTTGTTCTGCTCCAGGTATTGCCCCAGCTGCAACGGGACGAGCGAGGTAGGGGGGAGCTCAGGGACCGAGAAGGGGCAGGAAGGGTGGCAGGATGGGTTCCAGCAGTGGGACCCTGTGCTCACCTCTCCGTAGGGATACAGCTCCATGATGATCCAGATGGGCTCCTCTTCGGCGATGCCAATGAGCTTCACGATGTGGGGGTGGTCCAGCTTCTTCATCAGCACTGCGGGGAGATTATGTCAGACACCCTGAAATGGGGAGAACCCCCTCCTCCAGGAGACCCAAACCCTCGTCCTGGGGTGTAGCAGAAGGTCTTTGGCATGAAGAGACAGAGCAGGAGTTATCAAGGATACTCTAGCAGGTCCAAAAAGGAGTTGGGGCTCCTGGTTTCCAGCTCCCCAGGGACTTACATGCAGGTGGTGCCCATCTGCGCTCATACAACAGTTCAGCAGCTTTTCTGCCCCTCCCACAAACCAGGTATTTGGGAGAACAGCCCTGTCACAGGGGCAAGGGTACAGGTCACCTCCCTCCTCCTGCTCTGTTCTGCATTACAGGGACAGGGAGGCTCAGACTGGGTATCAGGAAGAATTTCTTCACTGAGAGGGCTGTCAGGCACTGGAACAGGCTGCCCAGAGAGTGGATGAGACACCATCCCTGGAGGTGTCTAAGAGATGGGTAGATGCTGTACTGAGGGATGTGGTTTAGTGGTGTTGATAGGGCTGGGACAAAGGTTGGACTTGCTGATCTTGAAGGTGCCTTCCAGCCAAAACTCTTCTATGATTCTATGACAATTCGTCCCCAAGCAGGGACCAGGACACGCCAGGGCAGGGTTCTGCCATCCTGTCTGTAGCACCTCACCATTGCAGCGCTGCAAACACCTCCAGGCCCCACACATCTGTCCTCTCCCCACTCTGTGTGAGCCCCGGGGCAGGTGCTGAGCCAGCTCCATCCCCTCCTAAGGGCAGCAGGACCTTCCGGCGTACCCGCCTCGCTCAGGAACTTTTCCTTGTTCTCCGGGCTGCAGTCTTGCTTGCAGGTCTTCACGGCCACGTTGACCCGCTCCCCCTTCTGCAGGGAGAAAGAGGGGTGGAGGCTGTGTTACCCCCGCTCCGCCGCCATCCGTGAAGGAGGGTGGCAGGGAGAGCGCAGGACGCTCACCGGGGTGGTGTAAATCCCCTCGTAGACCTCTCCGAAGAAGCCTTCTCCGAGGATCCCGCCCAATGTGACGTCCTCCCTGGAGATCCCATAATGTTGGACTGCAAGGACAGGGGAGCAGGGCAAGGGTGGCAGCTCTGGAGGGTGGGAAGCTGCCTGCACCCCCACCCATTCTGCGGGCAGAGCCCCCATGTGGGGCAGGAGATGTTGGTGGTCTCTGGGTACCAACCCTCTCCATCACCCCCTCGGCAAGGGTCCACAGCACATGGGGCGATCCCAGCATCTTCAGCCCTTCTAGGGGTGGGTATTAGGTTGGGCAGCAGAGGTAAAAACCTCATTTCCAGCTTTTCTTTTTTTTGGGGGGGGAATTGGGATGGGCAGGAGAAGGTGGGTTTGATTGGAGATCGGGAAGAGGGGACCTGAGGGAGGTGACACCTACCTCCAGACCTCGGTCGTGAAGATTCATCGGGGATTTCAGCATAAATATCAGAGTCTAGGGAAGGAAGGAGGTCACAGGCAGGGATGCAGGCAGCTCACTGGGCAAAGGGGTTCTTTTAGCATCCCCAAGGGGGTCCAACCACCTAGCCTGGAGCAGCTCCCACAGGGGGTGTGCAGGACACCAGCCTGGCTCTGCCCCCCAGGGCTCCACCAAACCCCCAAATTCCTGACCACTGGTGTCCCACAGCCCCACCTGCATCCTCTGGGCTGGTGAGAAGGGAGAAAAGGAAAAAAACTCACCAACACTCACACTGTCCGACAGCGTGGACTGTCTCTCCACCAGGTGTCTGTGGGGTGGGAGGAGGTCAAGGTCAGGGTGCAGGTTTTGAGGGGGGCAGGAGGAGGGTCCCAAGCCTCGTAGTGGGGCCAAGAGCTACTCACGTGGCCGGAATCTGCGGCAGGCTGATCCTTTTCTCCCGGTCTGCCAAGAGAGAACACTAGAGAATCATTCCCTGGCCATCCCCATCAGAGCCTCGACCACAGGTGAGATGGGTTTGGTGGGTCTCAGCTGGGGAGGGGGATCACTCCAAAGCCATGCAGGGAGTGAAGAAGGACTCAGAGGGGTCCGTGCCCCTCCCAGGGTGCTCACCTCTCCTGGGGAAGATGATGAGGGAGGTTTCTGAGGTCCCCTGCAGCCGGCAGTAGCCGTCGATGAGGTCTGCCATGTTCTCCGCCTCGGCCAGAGAAGCTGTCTTGATAGCCAGGGACTGGGGGAGACGGTAGGGTCGAGGTGAGCCCAGAGCTAGGATTCGAGCTTCTTGTCCCCACCTTGTCTCCAGGTCAGTATCCATCTCCCTGCTCCGTAGTGGATCCCAGTTTCTCCAGCATCATCCTTCCCAGGACACCCTGGTCAACACACCCAGCACCAAACCCCTCCCAGGGCAATGGTGGACCCAGGAGCACCCCTGGAGGGGTTTGGATGTGCTCAGTTTTGGGGGGACAGTCTCCCATCAGCCAGGGCTGGAAACTGAGCCATGCTTCAAGCCCTGCCTAACCCACGGGGGCACGATGCATCCATCCAGCACTGGGAGGGGATCCCTCATCCCACCCACATCCCACAGCACCCCAAGGACCCTCCCTCATGTCTCCTTACCTGGGGGGTGCCGCTGAGCCCCAGCTGCAGCACAGCCCGGCCCTCCTCCACGCTGGAGCACTTGATGGACTTGATGTGCTTGAATTCAGCCAAGCACGTGGGCTGAGGAGAGAGGCAGAGACCCAGTGTCAACTTTAATCATCAATTTAAGAGCAGCCACCCCCTCCCCAACCATCCCTCCCTCCCCTCCACACCCAGTACCTTGGCCTCCTTGCTCGTCATCTGCCGGATGCCCTTGGGTCCGATGACCAGGTCTACTGTGATGTTCCACCCTTGCTGGGGGAGCAGCAGAAGGAGGAGGCAAATTTTGGGGGTGTTTAGCCTCAGAGACAGGTGTGTGTGTCTCCTTGAAGCTGCTGCAATGTGTGACACCCTGGGAAAAATCACCTTCCCGGAGGGACTTGGAGAGGGGATGGTGCAAGGCAAGGAGCCTGGTGTGGGTGGTTTTCCTCCTTCCAGCCCCAAAGGGGACCCCAGTGCTCCCAGTTTGGTGCTTTGTCACTCCAAAGGGGTTCAGCAAACTTCAGGTGCTGACTTGCACACACCAGGGTTGGAC